ATTTATATTTATATTTATATTTATATTTATATTTTTATTTATATTTATATTTATATTTATATTTATATTTATATTTATATTTATATTTATATTTATATTTATATTTATATTTATATTTATATTTATATTTATATTTATATTTATATTTATATTTATATTTATATTTATATTTATATTTATATTTATATTTATATTTATATTTATATTTATATTTATATTTATATTCATATTAATACTAATATTTTTATTTTATATATATATATATATATATATATTTATATTTATATTTTTACGTTATTATTATTCTTATTGTTGCTATTATTCTTATTATGATGATTATCATTAGAGTAAATTCCATAAATGATCCCATTTCTCAATATCCCTGTAGATACTTCTCCAGAAAGATTTGCACTGCCGTTCTGCTATTTCAGGCTCTTCTTCTGCTTGCTTATAATTCTGGTTTAGGGGTCTTTGGTGTTGAGTCTGGTTTTGTGTTTTTTTTTTTTGAAGTTAGGTTCTAGGTTTGGGTTTTTGGGGATAGGTTTTGGGATGGGGTTTTGTTTCTTGGATTGGGGCTGGTTTTTGATCTGGGTTTGAGGTAGATCTTTGGTTGGGATTTGGCTTTTGGGTTTGCATATGTTTATGGGTCTTGGTTTTGGGTTTTGGATCTGGTTTTGGTTATGCTTTTTGGGGCTGGGTTTTGGGTCTGGTTTATCCAAGGTTGGGGTCATTTTGTTTATCTGATACTCCGTCCCATAAAGATTTTCCTTCTTTCAATTTTCATCTGTGCTATAAAGACTTTAACTTCCTTTTTAAGAAAAGAATGTGTGGCTCAAAAAGTTTCTCTTCTCATCAAAATTTAACCACTCCTTTTTTCACTTTTCAGTATTTTTCTTAAACTTCTTGAAAGTCAAAAGAAGATCTTTACTGAACGGAGGGAGTATAATGTCACGCATATTTACATATTCACATGAGTCTGATAGTTAGTTGTGTCTTACTTGTTGATACAACAGTACCAAACTGGGGACATCAAAGTCCTAAATGCGTTTACCAAATTGAAGGTGACTTTACTTTCACCTTTGATTTTAATGCAGCCTGGGTTTTATGTCTGTTTACTGTAATATCCAGTGGTTGCACCCTATTACTAGGGTGTAACATGTAGATAATCATTATCAACTCTAGTCCATACAAAAGTACTGTGGCATACCCCTATAAAATCAAAGGCATTCATGCCAATCAACAACAATGCAAGCCCAAAGTTAGCTAATTTAAATAAAAGCAAAGAAGCAAGCTTCTCAATGGTGGTATCTAGGATTAACCTTGGGGCGTTTACTGGCCCATGCATCGATCGCAGCAACTGAAAAACCAGACAGGTGGATGGCAGCCTTACCAGACCAGTCGAAGGAGGCAGGCTTCCCTATTGGTGCTGGATCAACTTGCTGGGCAGGTTCTGTAGCCCGGGTTCTGCTTCCAAGTCCTTTGGCTTCCCTGTTTGTGCTAGATCATTTTTCCGGGCAGGGCCTGGTACATCGGTTGCTGCTGCCAAGGCCTTTGACAGATCAGGGTCAGGTTCGCAAGTTCAACTTCATTGTGGTGCTTTGTGTGCTGCTGTTCAAAGGAAGGCTGGCCTGGGTTCCCGGGGTTGGCAGGACAATAGAATCAGGGACCTTTGTGCCAACCTTGGTGTGACGCTTACGTCTAGCCCTTTTGGAGGCCAAACCAGCATTAACATATCAGGTTCTATGGTCACACCCCCCTCATTAGTCAAGCTTGCCTTATCCTGTTGCTACTGCCCAGGAAGATCACATGAGTTTTGACCAGTTTTTTTCCTTACGAATAGCCCAGACAACCATGATATCAAAGGATTGGTGCCAGAACTTGTTGCAATGCAAACAATAGTTCGGAAGGTCCTCATACACCACCTTTTGAATAAAGCTATCACCCTCCGCAATCGCTGAGCATGGTGGTGCCCTGGGCTTGAGATTTTTCCTTGTCCACCTTCAGTCTTCAATCACTGTAGTGGAATAGTCTCAGCCCTTCTCATTTGAATCTTCTTTCAATTGTCAATACCTAATACTAATTGTGGTTCTTCACCATGTAGAAACATCTGCTTCTAAAACCCTTTTTCAAGCTGATGTTGAGACCTTGTTTCGAACTGTTGATGAGACCCAGAACACCACCACCAAGAGCACTTCAATTGTACAAGCTGATGTAAAGGCCAACACCCCTTTAAATTTTAAAACTATCTTGCAGTCACCCCTCAACTCGAACCGATTGCAATCCATAGGCCTTTCTCCTGAGGTAGAACCACTTCACCCCATAAGGGAATCCACTACTTGGCCTTCTCGAGCAATTAATGACAAACAGACCATTGGGGAAGTCACCCAAGTGAAGCCATTTTTTTCACTTAGAGATATGAAAGCAATGAATTTAAAAGCAGGGCAGTTGGTCGAGCATTAGGAAACCAGCAAGTGAAGTGTTTCTGTTGGGAGGTGGGCAACCTAACACCCTATTGAGTCACGACAGGAAAGAAAGGGAAAGGCATCAAGGGTCAATCTTGGTGTCTGACAAAGACGAATAAAGGAGTATTCAGATAGGGTTCTAGATGATTTGCAAGAAGACTTTGTTGAGGAAATTTAGGTTGGTCCTATGCTGGACGGTATATGATATTTAGCAGCCTAACCGCGGAATACTCCGTTGAGTCCATTCATGAAATTCCTGGCAAAACCAAGGGCTGTTTTCATCTCGCAGAAAGAACAAAAGGAAGAAAACAAATTGATTTTGAGGGTTCTACACTGCTATTTTATGCTGTTATTGGTTGTACGTTGAAAAGCCCAACATATATTTCACAGATAGTGGGAGGAAAAAACCATTAAAATCTCACTTGGAGAATTTACAAAGAGCGAGATGTAAGAGGCCAAACGGATGTTGAGGTTCTTAATATTCATTTCTTTATAGTCTCAACTCTCAAGTTATTAGTTGATTTTGTCATTATTTGTTTACACTTGGTTTCTTTTGTTTTAACTATTTGCAACGATTAGTATGTCATCAATTGTCATCTGTTTTCAGTAAGTTCCCAATTGGAATCCTACTTATTTTGTTATAAATTAGGAAAAATAATTTACATATTTAAATTTTTTTCCCATTTAGTTATAATTCAGCTTCCTTTTAATCACGCCATCCCAAAAAAAGCATTCACTTTCGCTTTTCGTTGCTTGGTGGAACTTTTTTCAATTCAATATATTTGTATAAATTTTTGAAGAATTTAAAAATTCACATTATACAATTTATAACTATGTCAAAACTTCTACAAAACAAGCGGTAATTAATTATTTTATTTTATTAGATGCTCAATGATTATGTGTATATTAAGTGCCTTAATTTCCTTCATAGCTATGCTAGTACTAAGATGTCTTGCTTCTAAAAGAATGGATGCATATCCAAATATTTGTCAATTTATGCCTAAATACCTCTATAAAACAATAGTGCTTTGGAAGTGTGTTTTTAAATAGTACCTACCAAATTCTTAAATTTTAAGGATCACATAGTTCATTCTTTTTTTTCATGAAAGGGATCACAAATATACAATTTTATCGTCTTAATCTTCATGACCACTCAAAGCAGGGAGAATGAAGTAAGAACTTGTCAGGTGTAAAAGAATAACGAACCAAGCACAAACTTCCCTCAATAACCACAAGAAAATTTATAATAATAACATTTTTTAGTCAAAGTTATCCACATTATAGATAAGGTAAGAGTAGCTCTTTTAGCTCATGTTCTGTAGCGTGGTAGCGTTAATTAGCTAAAATTACAATTTGCCCACCCAAATATTCCATAAGGAAAAGCCCAATAAGTAAGCTAAAAAATTCAACATTGAAACTATCTCTTGTTTTGATAAGCAAAATAAGCCTGTCCTAAATTTGAAATGTAACTTTTATCTTTTTATATCGTTTAAAGATATAGGCAAATTTCAAAATAAGCCAAAAATAAAGTTGATGAACTTCACAAATCATCATAAGGTGCGAGAAGCTTGGATTCTTGGACCTTGTTTGAGCTCTCATGCTGGCCCGTTTTCTCTTCCTCTATGCACATGCAATTGCAATACATCTACTAGTGTTGCAATCATCACCAAGTCGATGGAGGCTTTCATAACACACTTTGAGAAGAAATATGCTTGAAACCAAGAATCTCAAATTCTCAATATAGAATTGCTCTTAATATCAAATCCAATAAACTCTTCATGCGTCATGACTTGCTCAAATAACCCGCCTTTTGCTCTTCACATACGCTAAAGTTGTTTTTAATAATTAACATAATGAGGATAATGAAAGGCTAATATCAACCACTTCATCCATGAATTTTTATGTCATAATTTTGCACAGCCTATGCTTAAAAGTATTATTATCCCTCATGTTGACATTGCAATTTAAAGTTAATATCCAACATTAACATCTAAATACATCCAATATTTGGTAGGCATCTAACTGGCTGTAATCTTCAGTGACAAGATTGAGGGCATTAATTCTTTGTGTAGAGAGGCAATATAATTTACTATTTACATGGAGGGGACTTCAACACCGTTCTCTCGCCCAACAAACATAAAGGGCCCCCCACACCTTGCATGGGGAGTATGGAAGGTTTCAGGCAGTGCACTCTGGACTGTAATATTGACTCCCCCCAACTTTTTGCATCCATTTTACATGGACCAGCATTCATTCTGGGGGGGGGGGGGGGGGGGGTATTTGGGGGAGACTGGATAGATACCTCTGCAATGATTTTGAGAGTGTGTTCTCCCAAATTAGAGCCTCAGCCCTAAACAAGACATCCTCTGATCATTCTCCCCTTTTGCTCGAGCTCAGTACTCATAACCCCAACATAAGGAAACCCTTTAAATTTCTCAATATTTGGACTTCCCATCACACCTTCCTTTCCACCATCTCAGGTGCCTAGAAATCCACACCCACCGGGGGAGGGATCAGGGATGATTGGCCTCTATACTAAACTTCATGCGGCTACTAAAACCCTTAGTCAATGGAACAACCAAGTCTTTGGCAACATTCATTCTAAAATTAAACAAGCTGAAGCAGATTGCCTTCTTAAAGAGGAAGAATTTATGACCAACTCCATTGAAGAAAACAGAATGAAGTGGACCGAAGCCAAAGCAATCCTTCTCAAAGACTTAAAAATGGAAGAGGAACTTTGGCGCCAGAAATAAAATGGATACAAAAAGGTGATGCTAACACATCTTTTTTTTTTCACGCAGCTTGCAGGTCTAGATGGCAATCTCAACTTAACTTCCCCATTAAGGATAGGATGATACTGGCTGAATCCTAACCAAGGTTGAAGATATCCAGAAGGTGGAGTGTTTTTTCAGAAGCTCTATGTATTCAAGAACATCACTCACCAGGAGGACATACTTACACATATCCCCTCTCTTATTTTGGCTCCAATGGCAGACTCACAAAGCTTCCAGACAACATTGAAATAAGAAAGGCAGTATAGTCTCTTGATATGGATAGTTGTGCCGGTCCAGACGGTTACAACCACCACTTCTTTCGTACGTGTTGGGACATCGTTGGAGAAAGAGTCATTAGTGCTATTCAAGAATATTTATTGGGAATCCCTTCCCCAGGATTCTCTCCAAGACCACAGTGATTCTCATCCCTAAAAGTGAGAGCCCAGTCTCATTTGCGGATTTCAAATCCATTTCATTAAGAAACTTTGTGTCAAAGCTCATTACACGCATCATTGCTAATAGACTGTCCACAATCCTTCCAGCTATAATTTCACAGGAAGAAACGGGATTCCTTACGGGTAGAGATATTGCAGACCACATCTTGCTGGAAAAAGAGCTTATGAATCAGCTCTCAGGAAAAACACACAGAAGCAATGCGGCTTTGAAGCTAGATCTATCTAAGGCTTTTGATAAACTCTCTTGGGAGTACCTGGATGCTACTCTTGCTGCATTTGGTTTCAATGACGCCTTTAGAACCCTAGTGAGGAACTCCATCTCTTACAACCACATTTCCTTCTGCGTCAATGGTCTCCCCTCCAAGGATGTTAAACCCGCTAGAGGAGTGAAACAAGGGGATCCTCTGTCCCGTTTGCTCTTTATCATTTCCATGGAAGGGTTTACAAGGTCTATCAACTATCTGTACAACACACAGGTCCTAACCCAGTTCAAAGCAGGGTATGAGTGAGATAGTTTAGGCCGCCCACCATGCTCCTATACTCTGTCTCGTTTGCCAAGTCTGCTCCATCTTCTCTTCTTAGCTTCTCATTGGTGTTCATAGGGGTCTTTGACACATCAGATTCCCCTATCTTGAACCTCTTGAGTAGCTCCCTTGCATACTTTTGTTGGTGAAGAAAGATCCCATCCTTGTCTTGCCTTATCTCCAAGCCTAGGAAATAGCTCAGCTTGTCAAGGTCAGTCATCTCAAACTCTTGCATCATCCTCTTCTTGAAATCTGCTAACATGACTTGAGAAGAGCTTAGGTAGATGATGTCATCTACATAGACACACACAATCAGGAAATCTTTAGCTTCACCTTTCTTCATGTAGAGAGTGGGTTCATTCTCACTTCTTCTGAACTGATTTTGAAGAAAGAATGAATCCAGCTTCTCATACCATGCTGTAGGGGCTTGTTTAAGCCCATATAGAGCCTTCACAAGCCTGTAAACCTTGCTCTCCTCTCCTTCCTTCACATAGCCCTTTAGTTGCTCAACAAATACCTCTTCTTGCAACTCCCCATTCAAAAAGGCTGACTTAACATCCAATTGATAAATGCTAAGTCCCCATTGTGCTGCCAAGGCCAAAACAGTCCTTACTGTTTCAAATCTGACCACAGGGGAAAAAGTCTCCTCATAGTCAATTCCCTCCTTTTGTGCATAGCCCTTCACCACCAACCTTGCCTTATATTTGTTTATTGAACCATCAACATTGTACTTGGTTTGATAAACCCACTTAAGGCCAATTGGTTCTTTACCCTCGGGCAAATCAGTTAGGACCCAAGATTGGTTCCTAATGATTGCTCCCATTTCAGCATCCATAGCCTTCTTCCACTCTTCCTTCCTGATTGCCTCCTCAAAGCTCTGAGGCTCACTGCATATTAAGGCAAAACCACATTCCTCGTGTTCTGCTCTGTCATACACTTCAGCTACCTCTCTAATTCTGTGGTCTGGAACAGGGTTTGGTGAAGAGTCATACCCTGCATAAGGCACTGGAGACAAACCGGGTGAGGGTGAACTTGAGCTTAAACTTGGGCTGCCTTCACTCTGGGGTGTAAGATATCCAGTTGACCCATTTGAAAGGTTTGATTGGGCTGAAACCTGTTCCAGTGAGTCTTCTCCATTGCTCAAAAAGATAGGCCTGTCATGGTAAGTGCCAACATCTCCCCAGTCCCATCTAGCCTCTTCATGAAATATGACATTCCTACTTACAATAATCTTCCTACTAGTTGGATTAAAGAGCCTATATGCCTTAGACTCTAGAGAGTAACCAATGAAAATACATTTTTCAGCCTTGCTGTCCAACTTAGTTCTAATAGGAGTTAGAGTGTAGGAAATACAACCAAATACTCTAAGATGGCTTACATTGGGTTTCATCTCCCTCCATGCTTCAAAAGGAGTCTTGTTGGGTTTCATCTCCCTCCATACTCGCCCTTCTTTTCTTCATCTGCTTCGTTCTTCCAACATTGAGCTTCCTTGTGGCCCGGTTTCTTGCAATAGAAACACTTAAAGTTCCTGGACTGGTAAGAATGTTGCTCCTTATTCTCACCAGATTGCCCTCTACCTCTGCCTCTGCCACGGAAACTATCCCTGCAGCCTCTGCCTCTTCCACGAGTGGCTTGTTGCTTCTTAGCCTTGGTCTGAAAGGCCTTCTCTTCCTTCTTATCTTCACCCCTGAACTGCATTCTTTCACCATGTACGTGTAGAGACCCTACCAAATCATCAAAGGTATAGGTCTCTAGGTCCTTGGACTCCTAAATGGTTGTGACAACATGATCAAAGCGCTTGGTCATGCTTCTCAGCACCTTACTCACAACTTGTGAGTCCTTTACATCCTCTCCATATGACCTCATCTTTTGCACAATGCCGGTCATCCTTGAGAGGTAATCTTCCACACTTTCATCCTCCTTCATCAAGGCCGTCTCGTACTCCCTCTTTAGGGACTGCAACTTGACCATGATTGTCCTCTTATCTCCACGATACTCTTGCTTTAGAGTATCCCACGCCTGCTTTGACGTCATGGCTGATGCTATCCTTGGGAAGATGGTGTCATCCAAAGCCTGTTGGATGATGAAAAGGGCCTTGGCGTCCTTCTTCCTCTTTTCCCTCAAGGTAGCATCTCCCTCACCTCCACCTTCTGGCTCCGTGTACCCTTGTTCCACAAGAGTCCACAACTCTTGTGACTTAAACAAGGTCACCATCTTCAAGCTCCAGAAATGATAATTTTCTCCTTTGAAGATGGGCAGCTGCGGTATCCCATTTCCAGATCCATTTCCAGCCATTTTCTCTCAAACTAGTGTTTAGATGATCTTTAGCTCTCACCTCACACCCAAGAACAACCTGGAACTCTCAAAAACTGAGATGCTCCGATATCAAATGTTGAGTTTTGGATCAGGAAATAATCGGATTTTTAACATATAAGAGAGGAAGAGAGTTGGAGAATTTTGTTGATTATTCATTAACTAGAGTGCATGGCTTTAAATAGCCAAAAACAATCAGGAAAAATATCTAAAAAGAGATGTTGTAACTGTTCCTAAATAATAGGCCACTAACCATCAGCCCACTAACCCCACTAACAACCCCTAACTTCTAGCTAACAACTAGGAGTTTGTTAAAGACAAAAGACTAATTCAAATAAAGACTAATTCAAACCATCAGAATTAAAATAACTAAATTATTCAACATCCCCACAGCCTGGACCGACCATGATCACTTTCTAACAATACCTGTCCCTACCCTCCATTGCAACAAAAAAACAACAAAGCCTTTTCGTACTAGGTGGGGTCGGCTACATGGAACAAACGATGTCATTGCGCCGTATCATGTATATATCTGCTATGAGATTGTTCACACGAAGGTTTTCCTTGATCAACCCTTCTCACATGATGCTCTATTCGTCTTTTCTCCACATGTCATAACCACCTAAGACAAGTTTCCACCATCTTTTCTACGATAGGTGCCACTCCAACTTTAACTCTCATATCTTCATTCCTTATTCTAGCCAGTATGACCGCTCATCCAACGAAGCATCTTCATTTCCGCCACACTAACCTTGTGTTCATGTTCTCCCTTTGTTGCTCAACACTTTGTCCCATACAATATAGCTGGCCTAATAGCAGTACGGTAAAATTTTCCCTTTAGTTTTAAAGGTACTTTTTTGTCACATATAAAGCCTGAAGCACTATTTTGACCAAACGGCTTGAATCTTGTGATTAACATCATCCTCTATTTCTCTAATATCTTGAATGATACACCCAAGATATTTAAATCTCTTTACTTGTGGTATAGTATTTTCTCCAACTTTCACCCCTCGATGTTACTGTATCTCATGTTTCCAAACTTGCACTCCATATACTCTGTTTTAGTGCGACTTATACGCAAGCCATGCAACTCTAAAGTGTGTCTCCACGAATCCAACTTCCCATTCAAACCCTCTCGTGATTCGCTCACAAGGATGATGTTGTTGGCGAAAAGCCTGCACCATGGTACAGATTCTTGGATATGCTCGGTAATAACGTCCAATACTAGTGTAAAGAGATATGGGCTTAACGATGCCCCTTGGTGCAATCCTACACCAATGGGGAATTCTCGTGTTATCCCAGTTTGACTTCTCACGCTCGTTGTGGCACCATCGACATGTCCTTACTCGCATGAATATAAGCAATCCGTACTCTAAAGTGTGTCTCCACGAATCCAACTTCCCATTCAAACCCTCTCGTGATTCGCTCACAAGGATGATGTTGTTGGCGAAAAGCCTGCACCATGGTACAGATTCTTGGATATGCTCGGTAATAACGTCCAATACTAGTGTAAAGAGATATGGGCTTAACGATGCCCCTTGGTGCAATCCTACACCAA